CATATCTCATAGAATTAGCACAATGATATTTAATGTTAACAACTTAGAATGCAAACATTCTCAACTAAATCCCTAACTAAACAAAATTGGTACGTCGAGCGAAATAATCCAAATAAGGAAACCCTCATGTATCTACCATATGTTTCAAATGATTAAGGATCAGGTGATAATATCCCCATTCTAGTATTAAAGATAAATATAAATGTGACTAAACAACATAGGTAATGACAACTATCAAAGCATCAACATCATACCTGTCCAAACAGGTGCGGGTAGTCGCGACGAACATCCTCCTCGCGCTCCTAAGAAATGTCTTCGGCTCCTTACCGGTTCCACTGAACTTTCACTAATGGAATGACTTTATTTCTAAGCTTTTTATTCTCTCTATCAAGTATGCATACCGGAATCTCTATGGTAGTCAAGTCATCCTGAATCTCAATCTCTGGTGAATCAATCACTCTCTGCTACTCATCATCTCGCAAATGCTTCTTAAGCATCGAAATATGAAAAACATCATGTACACTCGACATCGATGCTGGCAGGTCTAACCTGTAAGAAACAGCTCCAATGCGCTCGATGATCCTGAAAGGACCAACATATCTCGGGGCAAGCTTTCATCGTCTACCAAAACGCTGAACGTCCTTCATCGGTGATACCTTCAACATAACTAAGTCTCCGACCTGAAACTCTAAAGGTCGTCTCCGCTGATCTACATAGCTCTTCTGCCGACTCTGCTTTGTAAGAATGTGCTCTCGAATCAATGCCACCTTCTCTGTGGTCTATCTAACTAGCTCCGGACCAATCAATAAACTATCCTCGGGTTCTTCCTAACATATGGGTAATCTGCAAGGTCTCCCGTACAAAGCTTCATACGATGCCATCCCGATGGTAGCTTGATAACTATTATTATATGCAAATTCAATTAGTGGGATGTGATCCTCCCAGCTATCCTGAAAATCCATAATGTACGCTCTCAGCATGTCCTCTAAGATCTGATTCACCCTCTCGGTCAGACCATCTATCTATGGGTGAAAAACGCTGCTAAATGATAACTGACTGCCAAAAGCATCCTGGAAACTTTTCCAAAAATAAGATGTGAAGATTGAGCCCCGATCTGATACAATCGTCTCCGGAACTCCATGCAATCTAACAATCTCCCGAATGAAGAGCCCCGATCTGATACAATCGTCTCCGGAACTCCATGCAATCTAACAATCTCCCGAATGAAGATCCTCGTATACATATCTGTCGTATAAGTCATCCTCACAGGTAAGAAATGTGCGGACTTAGTCAATCTATCAACTATAACCCAAATAGAATCATTTTCTTTTTTTGATTTAGGCAACCCCACAATGAAATCTATGTAAATATCTGCCCACTTCCACTCGGGAATGGGTAAAGGCTGTAGGGTTCCTGTAGGTCTCTGATGTTCTGCCTTGATCTGCTGACATGTAAAACACTTAGCTACAAACTCTAAAATCTCTCTACGCATACCGCTCCAACAGAAATGCCTCTTCAGATCCTTGTACATTTTCGTCGTGCCTGGGTGCACTATATATCTGCTGCGATGAGCCTTGTCAAAAAGTTCCCTCTTCAGCTGTGGATTGTTTGGCATAATAATTCTGTCCTTCATCCGAAGGCCTCCATCTATCCCTATAGTCCAATCATCTTTGGACTCTTTAGAAATCTCCCCCTTACGGGTTTGAAGGCCTCCATCTATCCCTATAGTCCAATCATCTTTGGACTCTTTAGAAATCTCCCCCTTACGGGTTTGAATCCAAGAATCCTCTATCTGAGCTTCGACCACTCTATCTCTCCAAGATGGCTGTACAGATAAAACTCCTAAGAACACACGGCTCCCGCCAATCTCTGGCCTGAAATCAAAATGGTTGAGGGTATTAAGATTCCGATATAGTGAATACCTCAAAGCTGCTAGTTCACGACGATGCTTCCTGCTTAATGCATCTGCTACTACATTCGCCTTTCCCAGATGCTACTGAATAGCAAATTCATAATCCTTAATAAATTCTATCCATCGACGCTGCCTATGATTAAGTTCTTTCTGTGAAAATAGGTATTTTAAATTCTGGTGATCCGTGAATAGCTCAAACTGTACTCCGTACAAGTAATGTCTCCACGCCTTCAGTACAAATACCACTGCTGTTAGCTCCAAGTCATGCGTGGGGTAGTTCCGCTCATGAGTCCTCAACTGCCTCGAAACATAAGCTACAACTCTCTGGATCTACATCAATACACCTCCAAGACCCAATAAGGATGCATCAGTGTAGACAACAAAAGTCTTATCACTGCTAGGAATATTCAAAACTGGTGCTGAAGTCAACTTAGTCTTCAAAGTCTCAAATGCCTTTTGGCACTCTATGCTCCAAACAAACTGTACACCCTTCTTAGTAAGGTGTGTAAGCGGTGTGGCAATCTTCGAGAAGTCCTGAATGAATTTTTTGTAATAGCCTGCCAGGCCTAAGAAGCTACGAATCTCGATAACTATCTTTGGTGGTTCCCAATCAAGTACGGCTTCTACCTTAGCTGTATCTACTGCAATGCCCTCCTGGCTGATGACATGGCCTAAAAATCTGACATCTGATAACCAGAATTAACACTTGCTAAATTTAGCATACAACTGGTGCTATCTTAATACTTGCAATGCTAACCTTAAATGCTGCTCGTGCTCGGCTTCCGACCTTGAATAGATAAAAATATCATCGATGAAACCTATCACGAATTGGTCCAAATAAGGGTGAAAAACCCGATTCATCAAATCCATGAATACTACGGGTGCATTGGTCAGCCCAAATGGCATGACAAGAAACTCGAAAGACCCATATCGAGTCAAAAAAGCTATCTTAGGAATATCCATCTCCCGAACTCACAACTGATGATAACCAGAACAAAGATCTATCTTCGAGTAACACTACGCTCCCTGCAACTGGTCGAACAAGTCATCGATCCTCGGTAATGGGTACCTGTTACGGATAGTGACCTTGTTCAACTCGCGATAATCTATACATAATCGCATACTCTCATCTTTCTTCTTCACAAAGAGGACCGGTGCTCCCCATGAAGAATGACTCCGTCGAATGAAGCCCTGAGACAAAAACTCATCTATGTGGATCTGTAGCTCCCTCATCTCAGCAGGCTCCATACGATAAGGAGCTCGGGAAATCGGTGCGCTGCCTGGCTACGACTCTATGCAAAACTCAACCTCTCTCACTGGAGGTAATCCTGGTATGTGCTGGAAGACATCCTCGTACTCTGAGACTACTCGTATCTCACTCAAATCTACGCCCTAATCTCGCGATATTTCCTCCTCTACGCATGCTAGAAATGACTCTGCAAACCGGTTGCCTCTGGAGGTTGCTATCACTAACTCTGATCCATCATATGCTCGCAAACTGACTATTTTTGCAAAACAGTCGATACTCACATGGTAGGAAGATAGCCAATCCATACCAAGAATCACATCGAATTCAAAAATATGCATCGCGATCAAATCAATCGCGAACTCAGAATCGTCCAAGCTGACGATGCATCTCCTACAAACACTTTCTAACAGAGATATCTCTCCCAGCGGTGTAGATACAGATAAGGGAAAATCTAATGGCTAAGCTACAAGCTGAAGCCTAACCGTAAAATCATAGGAGATAAAAAAATGCGAAGCGCCAGAATAAAAAAGAATACGTGCTGGAAAGGAATTCACACGGAATGTACATTCCACCACAGCTGCGTTCACGCCATGATCGCGAGGAACAACTGTATACACTCTACCGGTCTGCTGCTCTGCATCACCTGGAGTGAATGGTACCATCTGTCTCTGCTGGATCTCCTGGATCGCTCGAACCTGTCCCTTAATCCACGGAATTGCTGGAGGTGCCTCAATCCTCAGCTGCTAGCCCTGACTGCGTCCCTGAGGGCGGTTCTGCTGATGCTACTGAGTCCTGCCCTGCTGGCCTTCTGCGGGTGCACTGCGGCACTCTGCTGCTCTGTGTCCAGTCTTGTTATAATTGTAACAAGCTCCCTAAAATCGGCACTGCTGTTGTGCTCTCTGGTCCTGTTGATGGCCCTTCTTATGTGGACCCTGGTGATGCGGACCCTTACCTTGCTGATGGGGTCCTTCTGAGCCTCCAAATGGTCTTTTACCTTTTCCTTTCTCTTCGGACTGTCCTGATTTACCATTGTCCTTGCCCTTGATGAATATAGCTGTATCTGTCTCCTGAGCCATGGCAACATCTGCCACCTCCCACACTGACCGAAATCTTCGAGATACTATGTACCGGCGTAACCCTGGACGAAGTCCCGTTAGGAACATCTAAACCTGATGCTCCTCTATGTGCCACATGCCGGTGAATCTAAGCAATGACATGAACTTACTCTCAAAGTCCATGACAGACATATCCCCCTGCTCTAATCGAGCCAGCTTTAACTCTTTTCTGGCTTTCGCTGCAGCAGAAACATACTGCTCATTGAAAAGATATATAAAGGTCTCCCATGAAACCGACATCCTCTGCTCTGGGGTGAAACGAAGTCGATACCATCCTCCTGCATCGCCTTTGAGGCTGAAAGCCGCTAGCCTCTACTTCTGCACAGAATTATCATTCAGCATATCCAAGATGTTGCTCACATCCTGTTTTCACTTGTGTGCAGCAATAGAATCCGTCGAACCGTGGAACTCGGGTGCTTTCAACTTCTGATACCTCTCTACCAAATGAAGCCAAGCTTCTTGATCAGTAATTCTGTCATCAACTGGATTGTCAAACCTGCGAAGCACCAACCACCATGCTACGACATGTTTCACCAATACAATCACTATCTCTCTAGTGGAAATAATAAATAGGTGAGGGTACAGACAGGCAAAAATAGAAATAGGCAACACTGGATATACACAGAAAAAGCATAAGAAATATCAAATATGAGCCCAACTAAAATAGAATAGAAATATCTCTGAGTATAAACTGGATCTCAAATACAATGAGTCAAATAAACAAAGTCTCACAAAAACCCTCAACTCTAAACTAAAATACCAATCTAGAATCTGAAAATAATCAACTACATATGGAGTTCTGCATAACTATAAAGTATAATAAGTAGATAAATGGACAACTAAGAAGTCTCATCAACCTGCAACTCTCCGTGCGCCGGACTCGCTGCCTGAAAGAGGGGAAACAACGAGCGTCAAAGCACTAGCGAGATCATCACTCTCTCCCAGGGGAAGGGGTAGGAGTATATAAAAAAATAGAGTCGGTACTTACATATATCAAATCATTCATATAGCTCTCTATGAAAAATAAATAGTCAAGGAAACATACTCAAATCTCCAACATAAAGAATAAATACATCATCTCAAATTACATCCGAGTAGCCTTCTCTAATATAAGAGGATGTCAACCAAACCAAAACGAATATAACTGCCGTCCATAACGGGTGTGCCAAAATCTCAAAAGAAATACCCTACTCGCGGGTAATCTATCATGGAAGTAAAACTTACAACTGATCAAATACCTATGTGTGCATCATCTTGTGCTATTACGATACTCTTGTAGTGTTCTTACTCAATCGCTTTGCGGCAATAGGGTTTATCATCTCCCTATTCTAGATACATGTAATAACGATACTATTGTAATACTCTTACTCAATCGTTCTGCGGCAAATAGGTTTCATCTCCCTATTTTTGGGTACATATATAACAACACTATTCATATGTGTTTATCTATTTAACTTGTGTCAAAAGTGTGTCAATCTAACATAATCTAAGTATACATGCACAAATCTCGATGTGTGTATCCATATCTGAAGCTCACCATTATCCCAGGTGTTCAACAACTCTTAACATTGTAGTCTATCAGCACAAAGTCGAGAGAATCGCTCGAAAACCAAATAAAAATCCAAATGAAACATGCACGGCCTTCATCAGACTGGCGATCGACCGTGACGGTCGACAACGACGGGCTCCAGAGATTACCCAAGTCTCTGTCCTGCACGCGGTCGACCGTGGCGGTTGACCGTGGACACACGCGGTCGACCGTGGCGGTTGACCGTGACCCAGATTTCCAGCTTCTCAGATTTTAATATGTGTCGTGTTCACATAATGTTTTTGTGATTTAAACATGGTAAAAACTTCATAAATCATGCATACAAACATGTTACAGCAGATAGAAATATCTGGAAACAAAATCAATATATATAACCATGATTTTATGCATTATATTTATTTTCAAAACCCTAAAACATGCATAAAAGCTCAAAACGATGAATCAAACTTCTTTCTTTAGATTAACCACATTTTAAAATCATCTTCAGATCTTAAATACATTTGTAAAATTCATTCTCAACCTTTTTAGCATGAAAAAACCTAATCTTTATACATATAATACAAACGAGTTGTCTTTTATTCATAATCTAGTCGTTTAGGCTCTACAAAACATGTTTAAATCTCTTTAAAAACATTTTGAAATTGGGAGGGGGATTAGCAGAGATGATACTCGCCTGAGGTTGTCAAAAAATGTTTTAGAAGCAAGGTTGAAAGAGATCTCCACTCCAAAAGCCAAAAACCGAGAAAAATCCCGCTCAAAAGCCCCAATCTTCTCCATGAAATCAAACTAGGCTTTGGGGGTTTTGGTGGCTATTAGGGTTCTTAGGAAAACTGAGAAAAACGTAAAAAACTCATATATATATATATATCAGGGAAAATGAATATGGGTTTAGAAATCTGAAACTAATTCAAAATAGGAAAAATGAAAACACTCTGCAGGTTTTGCGGTCGACCGTAACGGTCGACTGGGCTGCGGTGAACCGCGGTGGTTGACCAGACTGGGATTTTCTAGTTTTTCATGAGTTTGGCCATTGTGTATGTTTCGACTCTTTTCTCTCCCATGTATGAACTCGTTCATACTCAAAACACATGGTATTATACTCATATACCATTTAATGATATTTATCAACTCAAAACACATGGTATTATACTCATATACCATTTAATGATATTTATCATACTAAATATCCATATATCATAATTAATCTCATATTAATATATCATTCAAAAATTATCGGGGTTTTACAAGTTCGTTTCAACCCAGTCGTGATTTCATGTGTCATAACCCAGTGTTCAAATTTCACGAATTCGTGAGTTATAGGCAACGATTTTTCCCCAACTTTGATGGTTTCTTCCAACGACAAATGAATCTGTGGAGTTTCATGATATCGTGAGCTATAACCCACAAAATTTTTCCATTTCCGCCCCTTTTCTGCCTTGTGCAAACAAATAGGAGGAGTGCATATTTCGTGATTTCATGAGCAATAACCCATGGTTTCTGACACATTTCGTCAGTTTCAGTCCGTTTCGACTCGGCTCAAGAAATCTTTACCGAATCTAATACTGATGATTTTGTGAACTATAACCCATGAATTTTGACCATTTTCTTATGTTTCAGCCGAGTGTCAGAAATGTCAAAACAACCGATTTCATGAACTGTTGTCCATATGATTTCTAACCATTTTGGTCTGTTCGACATCCCGTGCCAAAATATCTTTGCCGAATTCAAAACCGATGATTTCACGAGCTATAACACATGATTATTGACCCATCTCGTGCATTTGGTCCCGACAGCAACTAATTAGGCGGTGTTCAAATATCGCGATTTCATGGGTTGTAACCATGGTTTTCTGATCGCTTTTGTCCGTTACAACCAGGGAGTAATTTCGTGGATTATAACTCATTGTTCAAATTTCACGAGTTCGTGAGCTATAGGCAACGATTGTTCCCCAACAAATAGGTGGAGTGCATATTTCGCGATTTCGTGAGCAATAACCTATGGTTTCTGACACATTTCGTCAGTTTCGGTCCGTTTTGATTCGGCTCAAGAAATCTTTGCCGAATCCAATACCGATGATTTTGTGAACTGTATCCCATGAATTTTGACCATTTTCTTATGTTTCGGCCGTATGTCGGAAATGTCAAAACCGACGATTTCATGAGCTGTTGTCCGTACGACTTCTAACAATGTTGGTTTGTTCGACACCCTATGTAAAAAATATCTTTGCCGAATTCAAAACCGACGATTTTCTGATCGCTTTTGTCCGTTTCAACCAGGGAGCAATTTCATGGGTTATAACCCATTGTTCAAATTTCACGAGTTTGTGAGCTATAGGCAACGATTGTTCCCTAACTTCGACGGTTTCGTCCGACGGCAAATGACTCGGCGGAGTAAAATTTCATGATTTCATGAGCTATAACCCACAAAATTTCTCCATTTACATCCCCTTTTTGCCCGATGGAAACAATTAGGCGGAGTGCATATTTCACAATTTTGTGAGCTATAACCCCTGGTTTCTGAGACATTTTGTTAGTTTCAGTTTGTTTTTAGCCGGCGCCAAAAATATTTGCCGAATCCAAATCCGAAGATTTCATGCTCTGTAACCGATGAATTTTGACCATTTTCTTTTGTTTGGCTGGGTGTCAAAAATGTTAAAACAGACGACTTCATTAGTTGTTGTTCATACCATTTCTGACCATTTTGGTTAGTTCGACTCCTCGTGTAAACATATCTTTGATGAATTCAAAACCAATGATTTTACGAGCTATAACACGTGGTTATTGACCACCATCTCATGCATTTGGTCCCGACAGCAAGTAATTAGGTGGAGTTCAAATATCGCGATTTCATGGGTTATAACCCATGGTTTTCTGATCGCTTCTGTTTGTTTCAAACAGGGAGCAATTTCGTGGGTTATAACCCATTGTTCAAATTTTATTAGTTCATGAGCTATAGGCAATGATTTTTCCCCAACTTCGATAGTTTCATCCGACGGCAAATGACTCGGCGGAGTAAATTTTCATAATTTTGTGAGCTATAACCCACGAAATTTGTCCATTTACACCCTTTTTTGTTCCAATACAAACAATTAGGCGTAGTGCATATTTTGCGATTACGTGAGCTATATAACCCATGGTTTCTTACACATTTTGTCAGTTTCGATTTGTTTCAACCCGGTGCCAGCAATCTTTGCTGAATTCAAAACCAACGATTTCATAAGCTTTTACCTATGAATTTTGACAATTTTCTTCTGTTTCGGCCGGGTGTCTGAAATGTCAAAACCGACAATTTCATGAGCTGTTGTCCGTAAGATTTCTGACCATTTTGGTCAATTTGACACCCCGTTTAAAAACTATATTTACCGTACTCAAAACCGATGATTTCACGAGCTATAACGTGTCATTATTGACCGATCTCATGCGTTTGAGCCTAATAGCAAATAATTAGGCGGAGTTCAAATATCCAGATTTCATGGGTTATAACCCATGGTTTTCCAACGGCTTTGGCCCGTTTCAACCCAGGCGTGATTTCATGTGTTATAACCCATTGTTCGAATTTCACAAGTTTGTGAGCTATAGGCAACGATTTTTCCCTAACTTCTACGGTTTCGTCCTACGAAAAATGACTCGACGGAATAAAATTTCATGATTTCGTGAGCTATAACCCACAAAATTTTCCATTTACAGCCCTTTTCGGTCCAATGGAAACAATTAGGCAGAGTGCATATTTCGTAATTATGTGAGCTATAACCCATGGTTTCTAACACATTTTGTCAGTTTCGGTTTGTTTTGACCTGGTGCCAGAAATCTTTGCCGAATCCAAAACTGACGACTTCATGAGCTGTAATCCATGAATTTTGACCATTTTCTTCTATTTTATTCTTGTGTCTGAAATGTCAAAACCAACAATTTCATGAGCTGTTATCCGTATGATTTCTGACCATTTGGGTCTGTCTGACGCCCCGTGTAAAAATATCTTTGCTGAATTCAAAACTGATGATTTCATGAGCTATAACACGTGATTATTGACCCATCTCATGCATTTGGGTCAAATAACAAATAATTAGGCGAAGTTCAAATATAGCGATTTCATGGGTTATAACAAATGGTTTTCTGACCGCTTCGGTCCGTTTCAACCCAGGCATGATTTCATGTGTTATAACCCATTGTTCGAATTTCTCGAGTTCGTGAGCTATAGGCAACGATTTTTCCCCAACTTCGACGGTTTCGTCCAACGGCAAATGACTCGGCAGAGTAAAATTTCACAATTTCGTGAGGTATAACCCATAAAATTTGTCCATTTACACCCCTATTTGGCCTGATGGAAACAATTAGGTGG